ATGAAATCGATTTTATTGGCTTCTTGGAACTCATACAAGTGTTGTGTAAAGCTGGCTTTTTTCTACAAACAATTTCTTCCTAAGGTTAAAATTATAAAAGCCAAGGGAACAAGATTGTGATCAGCCAAGCAAAAAATGAATTCCTATCCAACTTTTATATAAAAAAAAAAGTAATAATAAATATTAAAATAAATTAACAAAAATAATTGCAAATAAATGGAGAAGAATAAAAAACAAAAGTATAATTAATGATGGAAATTTTCGATAAACAAACTAGTCAAAAAGTGTAATGGCTCCATTTCCGGAGCTGTACTAAGATCTAAAGATGACGAACAGCTCTCGTATTTTCGCGGATAATGGCTTTTGTACGTTTTACGTCTCGCTTCTTTTATTTTTTTTCCACCACGCCTTTCTTCTACTACCCCTTTTTTTTACTTCTCTCCTCATCCCTATTATATCCTTTCCTCTATGTATATATACTCGATACTTTCGTCCATTCCTCTCACGTTTACATCGTGACTTTCATGGAAGTTGTGGACTCCATACCTCTTTCGTTTCTCTCTTCTACTCCTCTCTTTCTCTATCTACTTCCGTATACCCTGGAATTTTAAGCCAACTTCTACATAACTATGTAGAGCGACGAAAATTCATTAGAGACTCTCGTTAGATGTCAATTAATTCTCACCACAATTTAACGAGAATTTTTCAAATCAGTTCATGCTTTGAGAGCTTTTTTTAAAATAAAATAATAGACTGTTTTAAAATTATAATTTGAGAAAATTTAACGTATAACTAATTGCTACATATAAAATTGAAATAGAAATTGTAGTAACGTGAGAGGGTTGAAGTGAATAAAAAAGGAGAAAAAATAGGAGGGGAAATTTACGCGCTTCTAGAGCTTTTGAATCACGACTTGTGAGTGTTCAAACTTTACCAAACACTTCTCACCCTTTTATCTTTCTTACACTCGAGAAATAGGGAGTTAATAAAAAAATCGTGTTACATTTTTCAACTTGAAACACTTAAAATAAATTGATTTTTCTCAATTAGCTTATGTTATATTTTGCTCTTATTATTTTTAAAAATCTCAATCATTCATCTTAGAATCAATCAACTGAAAACATTGAACTTGAAAACAAATAGTTTAATTTATATGTATTAATTTTCCATTAAAATTTTTACTGTCGAGTCTTTTCATAATTATTAATTAAAAAAGACTCAACTATAAAATTCAAAATAATAATTAACTAATAATAACAAAAACATCAGAATTGGGATTGTCCAAGTCCAAAAGAACAAATAAGATATAGAATATAACATATAGAAAATAAATGTTTATTAAAAGAATTTTATATTTTGTAAATTAATTAATTGTAAATTTAATGTTAAAAATCTATTCATCTTCTGGGTGATATTGATTTTTGAGTCTAGTCAACTTACTTATTATTCATGAAAGAAAAATGAATTGTAATTAATATTTGAATCAATAAAAAAAGAAAAATAAAAAATTCCACACTTAATATTAATTGTATATATTATTAAACTATTTTAAATCTTAAAAGTAGTAGAGATTCAAATTTTAAATGAAGACATGAATATATGAAAAAAGAAATTAAAACATAAATTGTATAAAACGAAGCTTTAATAAATAAAGCAGTAGTTAATGAATTACTAAATCAAAGTTCATGGTAATAACAATTTAAATAGCAGATGAATTACATAAACATTACCAATAACTTAATAAATTTCAGCTTATATCCTCTCTTTATCTGACACAAAAAAATAATTCGCTACATCATTAAATTGAATAATGGCCTAAAAATAATAATGAAACGATTGGATGAATAAATTAGTTATTTTGTTGATATTCCTTGATTATTAGTCGCCCTAGTTGCAGTGGATCCGGGACGAAGCAATCATATGCGGGCAAACAGGGGCCATCAGAAAGCCCACGTTGTTATCTGGAGCAACCAGCATATGTGTCTGTTCGTGGGCCGTGTCGTATTGATCTGCCAGGTCGGCTGGCAGTAGAACCTTGCGAGAATGAGGGAGAAGAAGAGAGGAATATAGAGCTAGCTAGTGTACACGTATATACTCATATCCGCCCTTTGCGATAATCTTTAAATTAATTATGGTTAAATAAAAAATGTTATCACAAGTTAAAAGCACCAAGAAGAAGTTGCAAAAAACTCTTACAATTTTCGAGGGTAATTTAGAGTAAGAAAAGAAGGTGAAGTGCAGTAAAATTACGAGAGAACTCGTAAAAAGTGTTTGCCAAGTCGTGATAATGGAGTAGAAAAGAGAAAATGGGAGAAACTTAGCCACCAAATATATATACGAAAGAAAAAGAGAGAAAAAAATTTTATATATCATTGTACGACTTCTGTCACTCGTATCTTAATGTTTTCCACTTTCCTCACTCAGTTTGCTACGGTGAGAAGTCACCAAAGTAGTGGAAGGAATCGATAGTAGCAATCGGTCTTCGAAGCCGAGGATAAACGAGAATTTTGTCGATCAATATAGCTCAGCTACTGTTGTTCTCACTACATGTTATACATTATTCATAATTTACAAATATCTACTTTCAATAAAATATATCGTTATATTCTCCACTTTATTACTACAAATTGCTATTAAAAATTGATGTAACAAACTTGCTAATTTTTATTATTCATCATCAGCATCACTACGAATCTTCAACAGTTCTAAAAGAAGTCCATTTAGAGTTTCGAAAAAAATATAGAACATTTTTTAAGATGATAATCATTTATTTCTTTAATATTAAAAAAAAAATGACCTCAATGAAAAATTAAATGACGTTTTTAAATTGATTTTATCTCAATTTGACACAATTTCTGCCAAGTGAGATTTTAATTTTAATAATTGATATTTAATAAGATTTCTTTGATAGCTAGTATGCGTGATGATTATTTTACCAATGATATTATTAACAAATAAAAATGTTTTATAATATTTTATAAACATTTCACTCATTTAATAATAATTAGCCAAAGAAAAAATCATTCAGTTCTTTAATAAAAAAACAAAGATGAATTACACGGCCACCCTCCATTTTGTCTTCACTAAACTGTAAAGCTCTTTTTTTCCTGCTGTGAACTCTCTATCTTAATTCATCCTAATTTTTAGGCTCAGACTCCTTAATTGAAACGAAAATAACCAACAAAAGAAGCTTTAACTTAATTAAATAGAAATTGATTAATTCAAAATAATTTATTCTTTCACAGTGTTCAATTGCTAGTGTCACTTAGTTAACGCATTCTGAAGTGCAAATGAATTTTTTACCAACACTTTATAGCATAGAGAATGAAGACATTGAGTTAAAAAGCCCTTGCGTGAAGTGAAACAAAAAAAAACTGGAAAAAGGTTAAAAGAAAAGAAAGATCAAAAGCAACTCGACCTCGTTGCTCTTCTCATTGCGGCTTTCCAAAATCCCGGGGATGCATCCTCGCGTGCTGCAATCCCCCAGGGGTGGAGGGTGCTTACATGCATTGCGAATTGCAAGGCCGTGTATTTTTAACTTTAGAAACTTGCCAACGGGCCGCAGGGGGATCAATACCTGGCCGGGCGAACACTCTTCCCTATATACTTACTCGCCTTCGCTTATAGTGGCATCTACGATGGCGTTAGCTTTTTAATTTCCCTCTATATCAACGTAATACTTGTTATATATAGTCGATAAAAAATTAGGTCATGCATTTAGTGCATTGAAATAGAATTGTCATCTGTTTTGCTGATGTAATTGGTGATTAATTGTTATAATTGAATTCTTCGTCCATTATTAAATTCTAATAATACATGTTAATCTGATTAACCAACTCTTTCCATTTCTTTATTTACTATTAAATTCATCAACTAGAATGATATAATATGCTAAAAAAAATTACATTTTGTATTTTGAAATTAAAATTCTGCTAAGATAGGATTTAGAAATAATTTGTTTACAATTTATATACATTGTTTCAATGATTGTATTGATGATGACCATCTTCTAGAAAGGAAAAACATCAGAAAGAGTTGAACATTGTTTTTACAAAACAAGCGCAATGTTTGCTAGAGAATTTTAAACATGGCTAACTAATTTTTTTAACTTTGATAGAACAAGTCAATGCAAAGTGAACTCTACCAATCCAATATGCTGATAACATTGATCAATAAAATTACCAGCTAGAAGTAAATCCATTTTAATCTTATAAAAAAAACTACTTTTATTAATCTGGAATAAGTAAATGCGATAAGAAAAAGCCTATTCACTTGTTTTTGTGTACCAAAAGTAAGCTATCGATTGGGTTAAATTAACACCATTTTCTCAATTCAAGTGGTAAATCAATGACCTAATATTCACCAGAGACTTGACCTCAGACTTTCTTTTGATCGCAGGGCTTGGGATATTATTAAAATAGAAGATGAGGTATTTAGGGATTCTTTTAAAAACGATTGGATTGTAGAGGATAGTGGCGGAAAAGAGTGAATTTCAATTGAGTCTATAGAACTGTTCGTGAGATTGCTCTCGTCTTCTGAATCCTCTTAAGAATCAAGTCTTCCCTTGCGGGAAGTCGTGGAGAAAGAATAGAAGGGTATGATGGATTCGAAAAGAAAGTTTTTTTTTTTATTTTACAGAAAAAAATAAAAGTAGAGGAAAAGAAAATTTCCTGGAGGTTTTTCTTTTCTCAATTCAACTAGCAGCTTCCGCAATTGCGGTTATGCTCGCAAGAGATATAATGTATAAGACCCAGTAGAGACCTTTTATTACCAAAGCTATTGTGTAATAAAATAGCAAAAAAGTCTTTTTACTTAAATAACTATAAAAATGTTAATGTTTAAGTTCACAAAGATCTTCAATTCAGCTTAAAATACAATATAAAAGAAACTTTTTGTTCTAATAAATTCAAGTTCTTGCTATTATTTATTAATATATTCAGCCAAAATAGTTTTAATGAAATTATCAAGTGAAACTAATAAAATAATTCAATTTGTTGCAGGTTCAACGACAATTTTTTTTAGAAAAAACGGCCTCTAGAGCCGAGTATTTCTCTCAACTGTATAAAAAACAGCCCAACGATTCTCCTCTCCAAGCCAAAGATGGACATAGAGGTGCAGGTGGCTTTAAATTTTGTGATATCTTATCTCTACAATAAGCTACCAAGGCGGCGAGTAAATATCTTCGGAGAAGAGTTAGAAAAGGCTCTGAAAGATAAGTTCCAGGGTCATTGGTATCCAGAAAAACCGTTTAAAGGATCAGCCTTCAGATGTTTGAAAACTGGAGATCCAGTGGATTCAGTTCTAGAGCGAGCAGCCAAAGAAAGTGGAGTCCCAATCCAAGATATATTAGAGAATCTTCCAGCTGAACTTGCAGTCTGGGTAGATCCTGGTGAAGTCAGTTACAGGATTGGTGAGAAGAACATGATAAAAATCCTCTACTCTGAGAATACAGATCTTCATGATGAAAGCTCTGCTGATCGAGAGGTTACCAAGACCTTCAACCCGGAAGCTCAGTGCTTTAGACCCATTGAAGCTGTTGGAACATCACTAAGTGGACTAAGCTTAAGTCCCAAATCAACATCTCCCTTCCCATCTTCTTTGGGAAGTAATGCTAGCAATGGTTCATCTAATAACCAACAGAGTGGCCATGGATCTGGATCATCTTCTGCTCCATCACCCACACCAATCACCACCTCATTCAAGGGTTCATCAAGTCCTGTTCCTGCGTTTATCCCTCGTACTACTGCGCCGCTGACCTTTACCACAGCTACCTTCGCTCAGACTAAATTTGGAAGCACCAAATTAAAAACTAGCAGCAAGAGAGCAAATAGGTATTCTATTTTTACTATATTCTTTTTTCATTTTCTCGCTAGTTTTGTTTTATGAAATAGCTGAAAGAGAATATGTCAAATGCATTTCAAAAATATTTTATCAGCAAGTTAAATTTCGTTTTTATGCTGACGCTTAATTAAAATGGTGAAATTTTTTGCAATTTATTGAAGCTTTTACTGACATTTTATGACATATTCAAAAGTACTAGAATTTTACGAAAGTTTAAACATTACATTATTCAATCATATTTTAGTGGATTTTTTTTCCAATTTACATTTATTTTAAATGGAATATATAGAAACTGTGGATATTTTTTTGTTTAGTATATTCTAAATAAAACTAATAATTAACATTAAATATTCCTATGAATTTGAATCTTGCAATTCTATAAAGCTTTAAAAGCTTTGATAGTATTTTTCTTGCTTTATAATCCTTTGATATTTATTTAACATTGCTACCAGTCTTTGATGGTAGATAAAAATGAAAAAATATGGCATAAAGTGATAATTTTCTCTTTTACTATTTAAAATAAAATAAAAAAATTAGAGAGAAAATTAATGAAATTCTCCATAAATCAATCTTAATCACTAATTCACTGATTTAGACCTTCATCTTGCAGGATGTCACCAACTGAGTTTTCCAACTATATCAAGCAACGTGCAATGCAACAACAAATTCACCATCATCATCATCACCAGCATCAAGCCGGCCTACCAGTTTCCCAGAGTTCACCAACGAGTCGTTCATTGTCACCAGGAGTAGTTGGTTCTCAACAAGCTCAACAACAACAGCCTCAGCAACAACACACAGATCCAAGTGCTTACTTCTTCCCGGGTCCTTATCACCCTCAATTCCCTCATCGCAACATCTTCGAATCATCCAGCCATGGGCCATTTCTTCCAGACCTCTATGGTGCTAAATTTCCATCGTCCTACTTGGATCCAACGAGTATCGGTCATCAGTTTTATGGAAGTGTTGGTGGAGGTAGTTCACAAGCTTCAGGCAACCTTGGACCTATTGGATCTACCGCAAGCAATGCAAACACTGCTAATCAACAAGACAAAGCTGCTCTCGTTGATAATTTAAACAACTTTGGTCTGGGTTCAGTTACACCATATCCTGCTAGCCAATATCAGCATCTCTTGGTTGCTAATTAATACCCTGCTCACCTGGCCCCACGAGCTTGTCCGCCACGACCTTCTTCAGTAGTGTAGCGGACTTTAGACCTTAAATACTTCCTCATCCATCTCTTCTCCTTGATTTACGTAGACTTAATAGTCATTTATCCTTATTATTCACTGATTTCATTAGATAATTCCTGACAAAAAGAAAACCTTAGCAGATGGCTTCAGGAAGACTCGGGGACTCCGGCGGCCAGGTGTCCCAGTTGATCTCGAGATACGGCAACAGTTCACATTTTTTTCAAGACAAGTCACCTACTAATCAGTGAAATCAGTGGAAAGCCGAGAAATTAAACGAAAAAAATTGTGAGACTGTTGTGGAGGTTGGAGAAAAGAGTTTGGAAATGAGAGAATTAATCAACTAAGCTAATTACCGGGACGAGATATACCGAGACAGCAACACAACAAATATTACCAACGTGTAATAATTTATTTTTTCACTGGAATAGTCGAAGAATAATAATATATCTGTAGAGCCTATGTAATTATATTCAGATGCATCTGCACTCACTTCACGAGTTATCGTATGGTATAACACTTAAATTATTCTCCCAAGTAACAACTTACAAAGTAAAAATGCAGAATTAATGATAAAGTGGAAAATTTATTTAATTAATAATTTATTGGGAGAACAATCACGTGATTATTTGTAGTCATACCATCGCGTAAAACTCGTTCTTTGGTATGATCTTACATTTTATTTTTATAATAAAAAAATGCAGTAGGCATAGAGGTGTGGTCGTGGTACGTAAGTGGCGCAGTTGTTGCTCACATTTTCCATTTTAACTCGTTCACCCTTTTATTTTCCAAACGCGCGTCACAAACGTAATCTTTTTCCTCCTCTTCCCTCTACCCCTTGAAACTGTTGCAGTTTACATCAAACCGTCGAATCAATTCCCTTTATTGCGATGGAAAAAATTACGTCCAATTGAATCGATGGTATAAAACACTAGGGACATTGTATAAATTAATCTTTGTTTTTTTTATTGAAAAAAAAAAATTAATTAGATGATTTAAAAAAGAGAATAAAAAATAATTAAATAAATAAAATCAAAATTTTTGTTTATTTTGTAATTTTCCAAGTGATTTGTATAAAAAAAAATCGTGTAAAGTACAAAAGTTAAAATTTTTTATATATTTTTTTTTATTTTTTGTTAAAATTATAATATCTGAGAATTTATAAATGGACTTCATATAATAAACAACGTGCCACCTTACGTCTGCGAGTCAATTAGTTGATTGCATAATTAAAAATAATAAAAAAACTATCATTGATGCGCAACCTCGCCAATATGGCGCCGAGTATTTCTTTGAATTTTTTTAATTCTTTTTTAAAAAATTTCTCTAATTAGAGAAGTTCTCGGTGTCGCGGCAAATTAGTATCAAAAGATAGTTTTAACTAAATAAAAATAAGGTGCCGCGAGCCGCGGGCCGGGCACTAGGTGCTAAAAGTATTAATGTTATCTTGAAATCGTGAAAATCGATTGGATGCGCATTAAATTCGGTCTCGAAGATGATGCGGGGGTATGTTAAATAAAGTCGACTAATATTCTTTCGGATCTAAGGGTATAGAAGGGGACGAAAAAAAATAAAAACATCTCAAAAACCCTTTACTTTAATATCTAAACTTAATTAATTACTATTAACGATACGTACGACTGTGGTAGCTATGCTAGTACCTGCTATTGTTAACAAAAAACACAAAAAAATAGAAAAATAATTACGAACGATTTGACGAACGAAAGGGCGTTCGAGAAGAGTTTTCAGGCAATTATAAACAAATAATAGACGGTTAAAGAAAGAAAAAAAAATTTCTGAGCAGAGTCTAGATAATTTTGCTAAATGCAAAATCAACATACAATGCGGGTGAAAAAAAAAATTGCAATAAATGAATCAAATAAATTTCAGGCTACATGAGTTTATCTCAATGCCTGATGATAAATCAAATGATGTATACTCTTTAAATGGTTAATGAATATAAAAAAAAATTAATAAGCAAAAAAAAACTTGGTAGACCGGAAAGGCAACTCGTGTACGAAAGGACAAAGTATGATAGGATTTAATGGTGCAGGAATAAAATAGTGAGATACCCAAGCAAAAATATAAACTTGAGTAGAGAGACAAAAATTACAACAAAAAAAAAATGAAGAGCTGAATATATTGACTTTAGAAATATACATTGAGATACAAACAAATAATAAATAAATAATATTACATATAGTATTATAATACGTTTACAATACGATTGTATGAATTTTTAAATGGATGATAAAAAAAAATTAACGCATAGTTTTTCATTGCATTACTGGATGTATTTGTTAACGCGATTAATAATTAAAAATTATCTGATGACATATAACTAATTAATAACACAAAAGTAAAGATAAAAAAATACTTAATAAATAAAAAAATCATTAAATACAACAGGAAAAATTGATGATAATTACACTTAAGAAAACTCGTTCTCGTATGTACCCACAAGTGATCGATAATCTGTCTTTAAAGTATCAAGTGTCTGTAAACCTAGCAAATCGGTATTGTCTACTTTACAATGATTAAGCAACAAATAACCATGGTACGCCGTTAATAATAATACTGAATAATAATAATAATGAAATAAATAGTAATAATTGAATATGCATACACAATATATTCTTATACTTAGCTGAGAGAAATTGATAGGAAGGGAGACAGGCAGGGTCCTAAGCAACCAAAAAGCGACTAAATATTTCGGGATTTATTGAACAAAAAAGAAATTTAAAATTGTCACAACAGTCGCTCTTTTTCTACTGAAGGAAGATGATTAATTTTATCACAATGTTGCAGAGTTTTTATCTATTGAGAAAATTAAAAAAAAAATATTTTTTTAATTAGTGTAAAATGTTCAATAAATAAACGTCATCCAGTGAATAATCAACACGTGAAATATTAATTATTAATTAATATTGCTTGTAATTAGAAAAGAATGTCAACATTGCAAAGTATAAAATAGCTCAAAGGTTTGTAATTAAAATAATAACTCATGTATTGATTATTTTTTAAGTAATAATGGTTATTTATTGGAAATTTTACTCTATTGGAGACAGAATTTTTATGTAAAAAATTTAACTATAATTATTGGTGCTAAAAACTGTGGATTATTTTATTTTTTTAAAATTGCAAAAAATATTATAATAATAAATATATTATCTACATTTTTTGTCAATTATAAAGAATATAAAAAGTAAAATTTATTTTTTTTACAATTTTTAGTACGAATATTTAACTAACGTAATCGATTAATTAATCTAAATTTTGTTTCCATTTTTAATCATTATATAAGTGCTATAGTATCAATGATAATTGCCATTATAAAAGGATATTTCAAATGATTCTGACATTGTGCAAAAAGTAACAAAAAAGAAATGACCAGTATTTTAAACTAAGATATCAATTTAATTTATTAAGAAAGACATTTAAAAAACAACTATTAAATAAATTCAAAATATTTGAATTTATTTTCGGTAAAATTTATTATTTTCCTTCAGTGCAAACCCAAGCTTTAAGCTCTTGCATGTAAATAGTTATCAACAGCCGTCTCACATATATGATCAGAAACGATATTTAACTCAAAACAGATAAAATAAACTCGAATAATAAAAATTTTGCGAACAACATAAAAAGATATACCAGTAAAAAGAAAGCAAAATGATCAGAAAAATTTCACTTACCAAATAAAACACATGAAAATAAAAAAAACCGAAAAAAAACGAAAAAAAAAAAATACATTTCGGATTTCTCATATACTGAAGTAAATGATTAATTAGAATCAAGAGAATGATAATTAGATTTGTAATTAATTATATATATTTTTCAATACTTTAACTACTTGCTGTATGTAAAATTATTATTGTAATACAACATTACATATACTATTTAATGATATATGCATACAACAATTTAATAACAAAAAATAATAATAATAATAACGATAATGTATAGAAACATTGCGACCCAAGGACACGCATCACGTTAGTCGCGTACACCTTCGACAGTGGCGGGTTTCACACGGAGGTGAATGAGTCTATAACTCTCCTTTGAATAATTAAACAAAAAAATATTTAAACGTAGTCTCTGAATTATTTTACATAAAATAATTATACATACGTGACTTGTGTCGATTGATATGCGCGTGAGCTTTAAAAGAAAACTAGAAAAATATCCTTATTACTTAAGATGTCCTTTTTCTATACATACTTTATCAAGAAATGATAAAAAAAAACAACAACACTTCCCCCTTCTTTTTTACCCTAAATAAAAACGAAACCTTTTTATATCCAACTTCCCCCCTCTCTAAACCGAGACGTCATTAGTCACACATAAATGCATCATTATACCTCCTTTCCCTTAACCGTACAACCCCCTTTGTTATCTTTGTACCGAATGAATTCAAGTCTGCATGAATGACGAGAGTATGCTATATAAGAATTTCCAAGTGGCTTTCCACAGTTCCTCAATAGAATTATTATAAAAAAAAAAAATTAGAGTTGAAAACAGAAGAGAAAAATTTACACATTTTCGACACTCAATTATTTTTACTTTATTAACAAATTTATTTGTAACATATGAACATTTTTCGATAAATTTTACTGCCTTTTTAAACAGAATTCTCTTTATCCTTTTATTATTATATTAATTAAATTAATTAATTATATGATCATGATAAATCATTTTTTTTTTCTTTATTGCGTTATTATTAATGAATTATTGTATTTTTGTTGATGTTAGATTTTGTTTCTGTATTTTTGTACACAATGAAAAATAGTAATGTTTGATATATATTAATGTGTTATTAATTTTTTTTTATTTTATAAATGAGCGTTAATACACAGTATCGCTTGCGTTTTACGAATAGATCATTTTATTACAATCATTATTACTATTATTATTACTACTACATTGCTATAATAACTATTATTACTATTGTAATGATTTTATTCGTAAATATGAACAGAAAAACATAGTCATAAGAATTTTTTCATAGTTTGTTATCGTTGTTTTGTATGATAATTGATTATTATATGTTTCGTATGGAGATATACATTTTCAAATAAAATCAAATTAATGATAATAATGTTCATTTGAATTTGCTTATGTATATCTGCAAACGTATAACAAATACATACTATATTTTTGTTAATAATATAATGATTTGATATCTGCAATTAGTTGTTAATTGATTTTATTTTTTTTCTCATTTCACTGCATTATAATATTTTATTATTATTATTATCATTATTATTATTGCTAAGTATATATATATATATATATCACATGTGACATACTTTAAAAGACATGTCCAATACTTATTACACGGGCTATGAGTTCTTTTGTGTGAGTAACTTTACAAACTATTAAGTAATGATCGATATTATCCTCGTATATGCATATATCGTTGAAGTGAATGTATTATACTATGTATTTATAATGAGTACTATTCGTTTATTCTTCGTTTTTTACATCTGTACATTTTTCAACTTATTTATTAAAAATATCTCTGAACTGAATTGGATTATGAGGATTATGAAATTTCTTATGTATTTTATTAATATTTCGTATAAAAAATTTCTAATTAATTAAATGAATTATGTTTGATGAAAATAAATATGAACATTGTTTGATATTATTTTTTATTTTTCTAAATTAAATAATAAAAATGTTAAAATTGTACTTTTATATTATTTTTTATTTAAAAATCAAATTTTTTATATGTTTTTTATAGGTATGATGATTATATAATTCCATATGTCAAGTGTTCATATTTATAGAGAAAAGAAGAAAAAAAAAAATTGTTACATGTCCATTTTTTCCTCTTCAGTTCAGATTATTATACCTCTGCTTTTTGTCATAATAAAAATTTCGAAATGAAAAATATAAAAAAAGGGGGTAAAAACTCAGTACCTTGGAATTTCTCATAATCATCTCGTTATTATGTGTATTGGGCTTGCGTGTATAATATTAATGATCTATATATGCTTATATCATTTGTAAATTATTTTTTGTATTTTTATATTGAGGCTAAACAAGAAATCAGAGTGGCGACATTTTGACACGAAAGATAGAGAACGAAGAAGAATGATTGAGAAACAAGTTTTAAAATAAAAAAAAAACTTAAAAAAATGGAAGTCAGTTTGTAATAAATTTAACGTCATCTTTCATTGATCATTGATCTATGGTGAGATACGTTAAGTAATTAATTAATAAAAGAAAAGGAAACGCATAAATGACAGAGTTTATCGATAACGAGTTATTCTGAGATATTTCAAGGCACTTAAACTTAAAAGGGAGTTTATTGTACTCTTCTAAGCCAAAAGAAACAAAAAATAAGATATTGAATGGATTAATGAAAAATTAATTTTACAAAGTGTCCATAATTTAACACACTTAAGAGCACAATGAATTTCCTTCCGAGTCGCATCAACGCGATGTGTGTTTCTATAGAAGAAAGTCAAGGTCGAATTAATGAAAAATAAGACGCCAGATAATTAGTAAAAATATCAAAATATTAATAAATATTTAATTCTGGTAATCAATGGCGTCCTCGAATTAGTTGTTGGAATTTTGTAGTTTAGATCATTCGAATACTATCGGTAGTTTAAATGTTGTCGTTTTTTTATTAGCGGAATGAAAGAGAATTGGCGTGAAAACAAATAAAAGAAAGAACATAACTAATAAAAATAGTCAAATTTTTTTAAATATTTAAAAATTGTAAAACGATAAACAATTAAAGAGAAAAACTAAAAAATGTTCTTTAGCCATTGAAATCACGCTGATTCGTTGATTAGTATAAACTCGAGTCATCAAACACAAGTTGGTATTTGGATTTGATATTAAAGGCGATACAAACTTTACCATCTTAGATTATATGTCGCTATCAATGACCTTAGACTCGAGTATTCGCCTCGTTTTTAAAGCGCGTGTAAGCAGTAGATAACGTTTAATTATACATATTATAAATATTTGCCACAATATTTAATATATTAATGAATATAAATAATATATAAATATATTAATATAATAAATAATAATACTACATATAGTGACAAAATGAGAAAAAAAGAGAGAGTACGATGATATCATAAAATTATTATTCTTTGTTACTTCTTTATAATTAAAACAATAAAAAAGCTATTGAATAAGAACGTGTGTAAATCGATATATTACATTGATTGGGGACTATTTCAATGGGGAATGACAGGATTTATTTTATATAAAATATCCTTCATACATCGCATCCAATTTCATCAACGTCATTTTCCATTTTTCTTTTACTTTATTTACGTAACCTTTGATAAATAGTAATCATGGAATTATTTTCATTTTATTTATTATTAAGTCTGTTATTGTTTTTAAATTCACAGGCATGGTTTAATGGACCAGGTATCCAGTACTAATTGAAGGTTTCCAAAATTGTTGTTCTTTTTTTATGAATTTAAAAGTAGAGATCCATTTCAATTGTTATTATATCATAATTTAAGATCTTCCAGATGATAAAAAAAAATTCTAAATGGTGCGTAATGGATTATTTTTGCCAAAATAATGAATTTTAAAAGTTTTATTGCTCATAGAGCTTACAAAAGTTGTTATATAATTTAGATATTTCGTATTATAGTTAATCAAATTGAACTTAATATTTAGTCACTTTTATCTAGACTTTCTAATTCATAAAAAGTAAGTCAGATAAATTTCAATCATTTATTGGTGTTTTAAAAAATTGAGCAAAAATTGATAATTGATCTAAAAGAATATTTAAACAATTGTAAATCTTGGAGAA